AACTAGTATGCAAATGCAACAACTAACATGATATGGAAATGCTCGCCAAAATCACGCACCAGGGAGACACATGAACCAAAAGACTACCGGGGTCAACGGTGCGTGGCGTGTGAGTGAATAATACGAGACAAATTCCGACGGTGACAAGTAAGATGTGGGCAGGTGTATGTGGTTATGAGTAGAAGGGTAACAACACAGAACCGAGTAGTTTGGCAATTTGGATGGTCCGCTTGAATGAAGTAGGCAGTTGAACCGACACACAGGGGTCTGATTTGCCACACACGATGCGCATTCAAAGTGGAAGTCAACACCGTTAGGAGAGTGATGTCGATTATCAATGTCGTGTTCAGAGCCACTTTAACGTTGTGATAAATGGCAAAAGCACAGTGAAAGGAATGACACGGTCTAAACCAATATTTCCTAGACCAAAAAAATCGATGAGATTAACATGACATTTCACTGAAACTAAATTTTTTGCATATATTGTGCAATTTCGCGGTTGGCAGCGATACAGCGCGCAGCGGAAAACGAAAAATTCCCATTGATCAAAGAAACCAAGCCGTCGACGCTTGCAGAGTGAAGTGAACAAATTATAGGCAAACAGGAGTTCCGGTCTGTTACAGATACTGAAGAATGATTCGGTCGGAGAGAAATTCATTGATCGATGTGACATTGTCATCCAGTGTGGAACACTCTTCAGACTAATAGTTCCACGTTGTCTAGCACAAAGTCATCAAGCAACCAGAAAGAGTTGGATAGAATCTGATAAACAGATCAGGGGATAGACGAAACTGTAATTTCACCATAATTCAACAGCGACCTGTGCGAAATAGCCATATTAACTTCGTTGTTCTTCCGATTTGATCCAACTATGACAAATATGTCCAAATAAACCAACTAATGAGGTTTGTATCGGAACACAAGCCGAAACGAGCACGTTGAGGATAATCAGTCAGAGCGATGAAATTGGTCACCGATGAAAGTGGCAGGTCCAAATTCGCAACCACCATTTGTAGTACTTCTCGGGACAGATAGCAAAAGACAAAACTTTAGTTCTTCAGATTGATCTAAACAGCGAAGGGGTGATTATCGTTATTGTCCATACTACTGTCCAGATTATCAGGTAGGTGTTGCGAACTTCCTGGTCCGCGCATCTACTCATCTATGTCCCTTTTGTTCAGATGTACAGCTCGTGTATTTTATCACAGGATAGATGCTCAAGGAGAAGAACCGACGCGGCAAAATCGACGTGCTAGATTGGCTCTTGTGAATCATTAAACTGCAAGCCTCGTAACGAGAAGTGAACAAATCAACCACACACATACACACACACGGAAGTGGGATTGAATGCGTGCTGTTCTTGTTTTCGCAATCCGGATAGACTTCCCTAAGATTGACGCTAAATATGTACGCTCTGTGCTATAGAGACATGCCATTGATTGTACACGATATGCACGTTGCTCTGCCGGGCTATCCTATTATTTCGCTGCACTGCTAAAAGTGAGAAATTATAAGCTTTGTGATACCGATAGTCATATATTCCAGACAACCAGAATTGACGGGAGAATGCTTTATACGCGGAACATAGTGACGATCTTCATTATATTCAGATAAGAAAAGAGAAGTAAACCATCATAATTCATTTGCAACCAATTTAATTCATTCTGAAGTGAAGGGTAAAAACAAGAATCAAATACGCCTCAAAACCGGGTTAACCGATAACTTTCACGCCCAGAGAAGCAAATTGATGTAAAAGTTGCGCCGGTGCGGATGGCATCTAACAAGATAGTGAAAAGCTATTTCAGAAGTACCGAAAATGGATTACAAACCACAGGAAACCGGTTGCAAAGACCCAGTTATCATTATCTGATTGTTTCCAGACTATTTAAACTAGGCGTTTTTGGTCAAATACAATAGATGGAGAGACTCAAAAAAATAGCTTACTCCCAAGAAAATGCACTAAGGAACAAAGTTCGCGCAAAGTATAGTACAGAGTCTGATAAATCGTTTCCTCTCGATCCGGAGTAAATTACGCAAAACCGTTCCTACGCTTTCTCCCCCCCCCCACACACAACTACAAGTGATCGATCAGTCAGAGTTGGAATCTCGGTCAACAGCAATTGTAAAAGATAGTCGTCTATTGATGCATTCTCGTGCAACCTTACAAGTCAGATTTCGACCAGGCGAAAGCTACGGTTGCAATCTCTAAAAAGTTGACCTGACGTGGCTTAGTAAACCTGGTCAAATGGGGCCTAGAAACAAATCATAGCCTGGTATTTTATACTAAAGCTATTTGTATCACGAACCGAAACGTCTGAAAACCTGTTCTTCCATTGGCTACTCGTTTTGCTTCCATCTTTCTATCTGCTTCAGGAAAGGAACAGTCCACGCGAATTTGGATCCACGAGAAAAAGCGGGTATGCAGCCAGAACCATTATGTGTGATAGTTAACCGTTTCAAGCAACTCAACAAGTCCGCACACCTCTGAATGGATTGAGACCACGGCCTAGATTTCTACAAAGCACTCAATTGGGAAGACATGGACTGTCAGAAACATGAGAGGAATGTAGTCAGTGCAGGGCAAATATGCGTCTACTCACGGTCGCAATATATTTTGGAAGTATAGGATGAATGGTGCAGAGCCCTAATCGATTAGCATGCCAATTATGAATAGACAGAAAGATGACCACATATAGATTCCGTAGCTGGAATCGTATTGAACCAGTAATGAGACGTACGTATGCGTTCACTGGTGGAATCAACACTGAAAGGAAGTTGTTTGAATGCCCCCATACCTCGTGAAAAAGCGCGGTGGACAAATTTAGTCAAGCACTGTGGTCGAATGACGAGTCAGAATTATCTTCGGCGCAAAATTACCTCCATGGGCTCCAGTGAAATCTTGCATCTCTTGGTTACCGTTTGAGTGACATCTATAAACTCGCAACAGTGAAGCACCCAAGAGCTAGCCCATGAAACAGATCTCCCACACAAATAGGAGCCATGATACCGAACGGTTGACTTTACTCACGCCCTCGGTTCCTCTAAAGTGATTTCACTGCAAATGGGCGACATACTCGTGCAACCAGATACAAATGACAGTCTGAGTTGCTAACTTTGCTTCTGAGCTTCTCGTGGGCCTCTTCTTGTGAGTACGAGGACCGAAAATTGTGACCGGGTTTAGAAAGTAAGCAATCAAATAACGTTTAACATGAACTTGAATGTCCGCATTCAACTAAACATTATTTGTGAGTTATGTGTGATAAGTCATATTGGTGTAGACTGGCCATCCCCCAGACTTCGTCTTCACGCACAATTATCGGTTCACCCAGCCAACCATAGACTCGTTGTACAGCAGACCGGAGTTTCGCTCTTCTTAGAGTTCATGAGTAATGTATAAACACCGTTTCGTCCGGACTTTGAAGTCCATACCTATCGAAGGGAGGTTGTGGTACACCTGTGACAAACAGCTAACATCGGGAGTGACCAGAATTGGCAATTCATATTTGTTCAGATGTCATCCCCAGTGAGCTGCAACAGATGCGGAACTTGAGCGTAGTGCTTCCCGAGTGTCGACTGGACGAACTGAGGACGAATGGTTAATCCCCAATCATATCTGAATGTATTTTAGATTATCTATGGTCTGGACTGATCAAACGCTAATAACAGCTGGCCATTGGAAATTTCGAAAACATCGGAACATTCTTCATCGATTAGCTTGAATCACTTACCTGTCCCAAGGGGCACCTCGAGCTCGGAAACACTAACCCTCCCACCGAGGATATTTAGCAACGTATCCATCTCGATAGAGGTGTGTTTTTGAGGCTATATATTTTTCAAAAGCTCCTCGACTCTAAGCAAATCACGAATTCTAGATATTGAAGGTTTTAGTGAAAACGAAGGAACAATATACTGGGGAACTCACGAAAACATGAACCTGTGAGATCATCTTTCTGTGGTATGCATGCCAATGGATTGCGTTTGTAAACCGACACAAATTAGATCATTTGAGCATTATTTACTGATCGACAGCAGACGAATGCGGCTGGCGTTGCACAACAGAACGAACGAACCGTGAATGAGACAGGACCGACAGCAAAAAATTGTCCACAACTCGTGAGGCGAACGCTTCTCAGTACTCAAGTGAACATGATGCTGATGTGCGATACAGAAACAGCGACTGAGGTCAGTCCAGCTCCTCAAATATGCGCTGTTGAGCATACCATATTGTTCAGCTGTAACAGGTTGTGATCGAATTGTAAAACATCGATCCCATTTTCGGGTATCATTACCGATAACCAGATTTTGACGTGAATTGCAGTAGTCTGCAACTAATAACTGGTGCCTTCGGTTATCCACTCACCAAAGTGTGACAATGGAATCCCATTTGTACTCTCCAGGATCATAGTACCGTAGAAGAACGGGCCAATGGGACCATATGACGAATTGGTCGGTTGAATCCATCCATTTGTTCGTTTATACATTCATGATGAACATTTTATAGGGTTATGAACGCGACTGTCCGTCCGGTTAGCAGTGGCCGTACGGTCATACAAAACACGATTGTCCTGGGCATTCAGAAATTCCCGAATGAACTTATCTCAGCATGATGCGCCTGCTCTTGCATTGAATTGGTCAAATCGATGGAACCAATTGAACAGATGAAGTATCCGTTGGTTTGAGATAGTGTCTGAGACACGGACTCGAACAACAACAACAACGCGGTCGTGTTCCGACAGAGTTTGGTGAAATCACGTCCGTGTTTTCGAATCGTACTCAACATTACTGCTAGTTCGGTTACATTAGGACAGATAGAACAAGCAAAACCGGCGGATTAAAGAATACCTTGGTTCCGTTTCGGCATGCTGGACAACTACATATGAGTGAACAGATCCCATGAGACAATCATTCCAACGGGTGGCAAGCTCGTAGAGCAAGGGACATGATCGTTTTCGTTGTGCTAGAAAGGAGACCAGTCGGAACTGAGTGTGGGGACAGCGCATTTAATTCGCACCGCCAGAGAGATCCAGAAATTCCGAATTGGATATGCGAGTTTTCCGAGTGGCTCCGACTTCATCTGGCTGATTCCGCATTGAAAATCATAATTTTTCGAAGCAAGAATGTTTACTAGACCGAGCTTTCCTAGAACACACGGCAGGACATAGTTGTTCCATCCGCTAGTATATAAGCCACGGGTTGGTTGTGGTTGTGCACGTGTGTAAGATAGTAGTCTTACGGAAGAGTTCTCATCCAATTACTTGCATATCTACAAGCACGAGTCAATCCACATTGGGTGCATTGCATTCCCGATCAGATCGAACCCCGGATGTTGCCACACACAGAGAGAAGGGGTAGGTGGGATTGAAAGACGAGAGAGGAGAACTGCTCACCTTAGCCGCAGCTGCATTACCCGACGGTGCTGAAGTTGTGGTAGTGCTGGCTGCGGTACTCGGATCCATACGTCTCCGTTTGGATACCATACCTGGTTGGATAAGGAAGTAAGGTTTGAGGGAGAGAGAAAAGATAATTGGAAATTGTAAAAAAGAACAGGGCGACCGAAAACAGGAATAGCATAAAAATACAGTAATAAATTAGGAGAAAACGGCTGAAATCCACGACTACGGCATAATATGTCCTAATACAACCAGTAGCACTTACTACCCTCAAAGTTGTCCCTGACATCCCATACTCGTTCCCGATCGGAATCTTTTCCCAACCGCAAATTCACTGAGAGTAACATCACTCTTCCCCATTTAGTGTGCAGCTTAGCTTACCGCAAACCCAATAATGTTGACCCTTCATAGCCATGCCGTTTACATTAGCTCTACATTTTGTTTCTCGACATTTTAAACATGTTGTCTTCTCGACCCAATATTATTTGTGAATAAGGATAAAAATCGGCCAAACAGCATGAATAAAGCTTTCATTAACTTGACTTCTCCCGACATGGACCTTGGCAAGACCACTGGACATGCAGCATCGAACACTAGCAACAGATGAGTTGAGACCATCACTCCGGATGTGAACCAAATTTACACAAACCCGTTTGGATTATTTTCCTCGCATCGTGTTGAATCGTGGGTAAGTTTTAAAACATCTAGCATAACACTAAGGAGAGAGTTTTAGAGTAGTCAGTTATTCTCTGAGCTATCAAGTCCAACAGCACTGAGAATAATCATAGACCTAATCACTGAAGGAACACGCTCCCTAACCCTGTCCCCATTCTTCATAGAGTAACTTTTTTTGTTCAGATGAGCGCATACGTGGACACGCTCGCTTTAAAGGCCAATTTTGATCGATAAACGATTCAACCAAACGTATCATCCATGGGAACTGTTTAACCAAGAGAATAAAACCGATGCCGTGAATCAACTGGGGCTTAATCACAATTAATCCCATCCAACGTGTTAGAACGACTGGACTCTGCAAGCACGCCCGCACACATTCTGATCCATCTTGTAACCAAGCTCAATAGTCTCTCTCGGGATATGAGATAGTGATGACGATGATGATGATTTCGATCCGGTGAACATTCTCAATGATAAGAGACGGATGCCCCCGTCACATCTAAGACTGCAACATAATGAGGCTGGAGACGAGCATATAAATCGACTGTATCATCGTGGGAAAAAGAAATTCGATATTTGGTAATCGGGTTGATTAGTGAACTTCATCTAATTATACAAATAGACGAACGGGCAAACATCAGTGGCACAGACTCGCGTAGATCACCATGTAACTTAGATAGATGCAAATCACCATCCATTGACTTAGGTTACATGAGTGAGAGCATGAACCACCAAAGTCAACAAAAAGTCCAAAGTGAGTTGCTCGACTTGTCGCAACAGACAGGCTAAATTGCTTTTAATAAATCCGGTCACTGGATGCGACATGAAAAACGAAAAGAATAGGTTAATTATGTTTAGTTGCCGAGTGCAGTCGATCAAAATCAATTCGTGCCGAAGGCAATTTTCAAACTAGATAGATTTCGAAATTATGGTCCGGGATTCAATTTCACGTGACATCACAAAAACCAGGATCTGTGTTGCCGTTGTTGTTGTGGGTCTCTCTGGTTGGGGAGTTATTTTATTCTTCATTGGTATTCTCCCGTTTCTCACGGTTCCAGTCCCAGCGGGGGTAAAACGTACATACTACTGATGAGTCATAGGGGAGTGGCGCAAGTTATCTAGTGCTACATCAATGAAAACCAAAACTATAAATTTTGAAAGATCAACGGGAAACAACAATAGGCATCATAAAAAGAATGCGAACTAACTTTGCTGATCCTCAGGCGACGTTACTGCAGTTGTCGCGATCACCTCGTTCGATTGACTCTGATTGGTTGTTTCTGCGCGGCTGTCGGAGGGCGGATGGGGAAGTAACGGAGGAAAATGATCATGAGTGAGGGATTTCAAACAATGATACGAATAGATAATATCCCCTTGACCCTAATTCATGTCTCACGCAGCTGATAATTGCAAGCCTAGCCGAATGGGGCTTTATGCGGTTCGCCACCGGGACTTATGTTACCGGTTTCCATCACTGCACAGCAGGTCTTCGTGACCAAGGGATTCACGCCGTCTGCTGTTCATCACACACCGGTGTGTGCATTAAAAAGATGGGCACAGCATGAGAGCGACTGATGCTGATCAAGGAAATTAAAGAGAATTTCAGCGACGACACACCACCGAAGAAGCACATCGAGTATTTCTATTAGCTTCAAGAGTTTCACTCCTAAGATATGTCGATACCCAAAGTTAAAACACGGTTATCAAAAATACATTAACAATAAGGGGATTTGCTGGGAATGTGAGAGTCACATGATCTGGTATCTCCAAATTCAATTTGAGCTCTACTGACAGTCAATAAAAAAGTTCGGAGAAGAACACGGAACTCTCTCTCTCTACTGTATGAGCTAGGGTCCGCATACCCTGTTGCCAGGTTTGAAACCGGTTGTTCCTATTGTTTATCAAGGTTTTGAAAGCTTGGATTTGGTTTTCCTGGTCAACTCTCGTTATGCAAATATGATGATACATGCATAAAACAGGCCGATATAGCACGGATGTGAAAAATGTAAGCGCCAGAAGGCATGAATACATGATCTATGACATTTGATCTAGGTGGAAAAGAACGGTTGGAGCAACAGGTGTGTTTCCTTCGGATTGACTGATTACAGCTTTGGAATTGTTCAATCCATTTTAGCCGAGAGTATTTGTACTGAAGAACAAATGTGATTTAGTGATCGTTTTAGTCGTCCGCAAAACCATGCCCCATACGGTGTTCGTTAAATAACACCTGTTTTGGATATTACACTCGATAGCCACCGAATTGTAATATCACTCTGGCAGCAATATAAGAACATTCTTGGTATTAAAATCTACACAAATCTAAGGAAGCAGATATAGAATACTACCGAAGAAATTTTACTGATCCCCGCAAACTCCACTGGTCAGCCTATCTGGACAAGAGTGAATGGTACAATCCACTCATTTTCTATCGTTTCATAATCAATAAACCTAATCCCGGTTGCAACAGTCCCCCACACGGAAAACGATAAAATTTTCGCAAAACTGAGACATTCGCTATAAGGACACAAAAAAGCGTGGAAAATAAAACTCACTAAACAGCTCGTTGTTTGTTTGGCGAGGACTGTACTCGATTGGGCGCGGATGATTGGATTGTGGCCGGTGCCGGTGCAGTTTTGATTGCCGGTTCGGATGGGACAGCAGGAACCCCAGGTTGACTAGGCCGACCACGTGATTCTGTAACGATATGAAAACAAGTAAAAAGAGACAATATGATACAAGAACAGATTGTGGTCACCCATAACATCACCCAAGTAAAACCGTAATCATTATTATGTTTTTCCATTCGTTCCACGATACAAAAGAGACCCTGATAAGGTGCTCAGAATGAGTGCATTCAGCCTTTTTGCGTGCGGTAATCGAGACAATAACAATTGAGTCGAATTCATAAAGTAGCAACGGAAACGCAAATCACAAACAAATAGGGTTGATGTAACAATTTTCTTTCACTGAGTTCCGTCCTTTCTGGGGGAGGGAGGGAAGTAAACTCTGTTGAGATAGCAACAGGAGAAGGCAAAGGATGCTGAGTCCTATTATATCCTGCTCAATGAAAAAGAATGGATTTCTTATAATAGTAATAATTAATAATAATCGACAGGAGCAGCGGCCATTAACGGCCAATGATTGATACGTTACGCAGTTTACTGTCTCACAATATAATATTATTGTGAGATACTACTCACTTGTGATACGATCAGCAGTTTCTTTCAACGACCAAAAATGAACAAGACCTGCTGGAGCAAACTGTTGCTGTTTGGCACGGTGAATACAAGAATGCGCACCTGATAGCGGACAGTTACATCACATATCCTGTGTTTGCGGGAATTCCGCAAACTTATTCCAAAGGAGATATTTGGTTATACGAATGACGATTTTACCATATTCTGACAGTTATTAGCAATAAACGACTATCCTCGACTGAGCACCGCCTGGTGAAATTATAACAATACTACACCGATGGAAATGAAGACAGTAAACCGGGCTGTAGTGATGGTACCCTGATATACGACATGCTCTCGATGAAATTAGTGAATTCAACCGCTGCCCAACATCAAAAAAGGAAGGCGTCAATCAAAAAGGAACTACGAACTTACCGTTCGAGATAGGAACAGTTCTTTGTGCGGTGGGATGACCGACCGACCGCTTCGATACTACAGGGCCATGTGATGATTCAGGACCGCCACTACCACTGCTGTTGCTAGTAGTCGTGGTGGTCACGTGAGTACCATTTGACATTGCAGTCCCGTGCCCGCCCGTCGCACTGGGGCGAGTGGAGGATTGCGGCCCATCTGCGTTACTAGCAGACATAATTGGCCGACTCGGGTGCGAGGAAACCGCTGGGTGTGCGTTCGGATTGGACGAAACGTTGCTGTTGTGGCTGCTGCTTGCAGCGCTATTTCGGACACTGGAGATCGGTTCAGATCGCAACGGTTTATTCTCTTTCACATGGAAATCCTCCTCATTGATCCATTTGTCCTTGCGAAACCGAATCAACCCGGAGTAGCTAAGCGCGAGAGCCTACAGAGGGAGAGAGAGGGGGGGGATGAAACAAATTAAGAACGTCGGTGTTATCACCTTGTAAAAAATACTCTGTTAGGAAAAGTGGGAAACCTATGGGATGACAAAGATGATAAAAGAGTATCGGTAAGCTTTTCGGGGCAAACACTTCCCCTGGAACTGGCAACATGGTTTGTGTTCGGCCGCTGACGTCAATCACACGAAAAATATGCAAGGGAAAAGAGACCCAAGTCAGAACTCGTTCAACAACCGACCAAATGGGGTATCTGTTTTCCGGGATACGTACGAATCAGTGGATTAGGCTATATGAAACAGATGTTGCGCACTATTATCATAAATATGTGGTATTCACAACTGCTTACGACTTACGATGATCCCCAAAAATCGGTTTTACCGGAGGTGAGACCAAAAAAGAGAACTGTAGAGGAGATTTTAATTGGCGAATCCTCTGGAAGAAAACTGAATATTAGAAGGAGAACTAAATGAAGATAAACGCGACCGAAAAATAATCCGAGTTTCTGACAAACACATACGCACGGACTCCACTTCCAACAGTTTCATTGCTCCGGTCAGTATCCAGCATACCTGCACGGGGTCTACTGCAGTTAGTCAAAACGATTCTTGGATTGTCGATTTTTATGACAGATTCGTGCAATACGAGGGAGAAGAACCACTGAGGACAAATTACCTTCAAATCAGGTCTTCGATCTTTCTCCTCGTCTTTCAGCTTGAGCACACGGCGTTCCACAGCACTGCCAAACTGAATAATTCGTGGATATTGCGGAAGCATACGGGTGAGGACGATCAGGGCATTACGGATTTGCACGTAGCTACCCGACTCGAGGCAGGCCACAATAGCTTTTGTAATTCGATAATGCCACTTATGGACCACGTGACGGTAATTTTCGAATTCCAACTGATCCGCTTTGTCGTTCGCGTCTGAACCCTACAACAAAGTGAAGGTTGACAGTATGACTCCTGAATACATACACACTATCTGTGGAGTCAGTCACACGTCATGATCATAGAGTATCAGACAGTCGATTGGGTCTGCTAATCAGATTAACTGAGTAATATACTCCAGGTATAGAGATATGCTAATAGAACCTTGGATGACAACTATGTCAAAAAGATGAGCAAAAAAGGAGCAAACAGATTCACAGATTTTTTTGTGGATGAACCCACTTGTGGGTAAACAATATTCAGATGAGTTATGGAATCCACATTGGAAGCCTTTCAGTATCAACGATGAAACGAAAAACAATCGGGAGCGGGAGCAGCTCCGGAAAGCAAACGGAAATCCTATCTGAATGATGATGATGATGACGACGACGACGAGTAGACTGGAGAAAGTTGTGACTGACCTTACGAAATACGGTAACAAATCCGGGAAATTGGCTACATTCCTGATTGTACACATCCTCGCTTGCATGCCAGCGATTGACCAGTTCCAGTACGGCGCATAAGAACCGACCGTACCGATGCGCCTCATCTTCCGTACACATACTGACTGGTAAAGTAATGTCATTGAAAATCTGTCGAAAAAGAGAAGTGAGAAAGAGAACGGGATATTTATGGTGCATTACCAGTGAAAACCAAGTTCTGTGTAGTCAATCAAAAACAACATTCGTATCGGGTTACGTACTCGATCCAGGCATATCAGCGTGGAGAAACGTGAGGTTTTCAACTGGTGCAATACATGCATGAACTGGGCCGCGTAGATTGCATCCGCAGTTGTGTAGCACACACGTGGATAGATACATAACTGAAGAAATTGTGTAATCGTGTCCGCTTTGTTGACCGAACGTGTCTGGAACCAGGTGTCCCGTTCGGCTAACAGCCAGGCCCGAACCCGTGAGACATGCTCCAATCGTGCGGTCTGCTCCGCACCCAATCGATCGATCAAGCCTTGTAGACGATCAACTTCGCGTTTCTTTCTGGCTGAGGTCTAAGACAAAACAGAAATGAGTGAGGTGGAACAGGTGACGGGCAAAGCGATTATTCGCACTGGAATAATTGGGAATTTGTGAAACAGGTGATGTGAACATTGCAGTTCTCAGCCAATTCTCAACGTCACGTAAAACGGGTGAAAAAATCATGAAAGGTTGGAGGAGAGGTGGTCGGCTATGAAGAGAAGTTGAAAGTGAACACACATTTGAAGTAACTTTTCGTCTGAACGAAGCTATACGCCCAGCCGATATCAATTATTACGGAAGGCATTAAATTCCAATAAATAATTTGAGCATGGGGAAACGTTGTTCCCAAATAAAAACTAGATATCCTTAATTTAGTTTATACAATCATTAACTACGCACCTTCATGCGGTGGTTTTGGCTTTTGTCTTCCGGCTGAAGGGAAGATTGGAATGTTGGACGCAGTATCAGCGAGAAATAGAGGACTGCGGAAGAACAGGGTTGCAAAGAGACGGAGAAGACGAACGAGTGCCAACGATACTAGGTCAGTATCTCCAACTATTGAGTACCGTGATCCCGAGAGTGCCAACCAAGAAGCTTAACGCAATTTACATGTTCAGGTATCTTCATCAGGTTTTCATACCTCCAAGCCAGAGTTTAGTTTTAAAACCCATGACATTTTTCTACTCATTGGTAAGAGAAAAACACTATGCTGCCAGTGGAAACACTAGGGAATCTGTGTGTCTGGTGGTTTTAAAATTTGATTTGTTCTCAAAGCTTGTACTCAGCCATGCGTAATGCTGCTGTTAAGTCATGCAAAACGACAACCTGTGGATTGGAACTTGTTATGGCGACTGGCATAGTGTCTCATCAGGTTAGCCCTGGTATACAGCCGGAAGACAGCGAGGCTGCCTAACACCAACTTTGAGTGGTAGCGACGGGCTTCTAAACTACGACAATAGGGATCAAATCCTATCGCAGACAGCGATTTACACCGATTGACCACCGCATGATCCGAATAAATTATGATAATGGGACAGAAAGCCGACGAGATACAGCATCATTCGGGGGAAGATTCAGTTTCAGCTTTTACAACCATTAGTAATGATTTTCATGCGCCGATTTTGGTTGCTGTCTTTTGGCTGCCCATATGGATAAAAGATCAGAATGAAGACAGGAACGCTGAGAACAAATGCAAGGGGAAGAAAAAGAACTCATTCGGACTGGGTTTACAAGAATATTGAGTTGATGCACGAGTGCCACTGTTCACGACAAACCATATATCCGATCACCGGTTACCATGATCTCGGGTTCCCCAGCCAGCGAACCTAGCAGGTACCTATGTGACCCAGTGTCCTGACTAGGGTTTTCATATCCCCATACCAGGTCTTAGTTTGACCACCATTGACCTGTTCCGACCGATACCTGCTTTGGCACACATCGCGCAACGTGCTGATCTATTTGGTGACATGCGCAAAACATGTCCCAACCAGCGTAGTCTATGCAGATCGACTACTTGATCCAGTGGACGACCGCGATTATCTAAAACTCTAATCCTAACCTCAGTATTGCTTGTCCGGTTTCGTCACCAGATTCGTGGAATGCGACGTAGACAGCAGTGTTCGAACACCGATAGTCTATTTTTATTCTGCTTCCGTAATGGCCAAACCTCTGAATCGTAGAGCACGACTTGCAGAAGTGCTGAAGTGGACAGTCGACCCTTCACAGATGACGCATGTCGCAGCGGAGTCATAGATGTCTCTAATTGGCAAATGCCAACCAACCATTCTGTATACGTGCGAACACTTTATTTGTGACGCGTCCGGCAGGTGCGATAAAGCTGCCCGAATAACAAAATTCGTGTGCTTCCTCTACTACTTAACCCATTTAGAGTGAGTTCGAGGGCCGTTCCAACCGAACATGGATACAGTAGCATTCAATCTATCCAGAACAACTTACAACTTACCCGAAATTTTCGGAGATTCGCCTACTTTGTATACTGAACATGCATTCATGAAGAAAGAAAGAGTAGCAAGTGGCCTACAACTTAACCCTGAAGTGAGTGCAGTATGACGGTCGGCGTGTATGATATTTTCATCTGAAATGTATGGCTTTAATGCTCACAAAAGTCACACAATGCAACCTTGTCTCTGATTCCCCAACAGCTATGAGAGATTCATTTGAAAACCGGATCGAAATCATTCAAGAATCGAAGACGACCAATTTTTATCTGTTTCCTTTTACACGTAAAATGAATCTGGAGTTTGGGCGCAGCACAACCTTCAAAGACCCCTGCTGGTCCGGTGGGTACAAAACTTCCTGAAAAATTATCTGAACAAAAAAGGAAAAGGAATCAAGCGTGTTTCGATTCCCGCGTAAGTCTCAGTCTGCGTTGGGGAGAGGGAGGATTTATTCTGTGGAACTTAGTGTCACCCACGAAGAGATCAATATTAAAACGAATACATGATAGATGGAATCCGTAGACAACTGCAGCACGTGATCGGACAATCCAAGTGGGATCATTACAACAAACAGTGCATTTAAGGTCTAACCAGACTGGGGATTAGTTGGCGTCTCTAGAAATAGATGTGGCGAAACAGATTGAGAAGTATCCCATCGAGAGCACGAACACACAGAAGGGGAGAGAGATCAGACAGAATTTTTCGACAAAGAGTTGGTCGACAACAAACTACTCGTGCGGGGGTTCTCCTGGGCCAAGCGTGCTATCGGTGCATTAAAATCGTGCGACCGGTTTCTGCATTCGATTGCGTCTGGCGCCAATATATTATTCCATTGCAGTTGAAGAAGAGGTATACGCTATCGACAGTATTGGTCGAGTGGATTTCGGGCCTATGAGTTGGAAGTACTGCGGTTGGACCTTACCGTTAAGATAACTACGAGATGTGTATATGACATGTTTCATGCAAAAAACAATAAACCTGTATTTTTTTAAAATGAATTGAGCAGAAAGAAACCGTAACGGTGCACATGACTGCAGCAACTCAGGTATTTCTGCGGTTAAGTCCGTACGATTTTGCCGATTGTATAGGTTTGAGGGAGGCCCACCAAGGAGGGCGAAAATTGATCACAAGTATGATGTGCCTTGAGTTACATAATGATTCGAAATATTCTTTGAAAAACAAGGAATGAGCACTTTAGATTATTATGGACAAGAAGGAATTGAAACTCAATTGCTCATTACCTTTTTTCTAAACAAAAATAAGCCTGCTGAATTCACCGATCTTTTGAAAGTGCGGAAGTTGAACCCGAGTTAGAGAACAGAAAGAAGCGAGCGAAGATTATTCTCGCTGCGACGGAAGATGATGCAGTTTCCCGTACCAGAGCATTTCGCGGTTTCGCACGAGTGGTGTCGTGGAACAAACGAATGTCTGTCAACAAGCGTAGTATCGATCAGACTGGGCTAGTAAAATGATATCCGTTAGAAGACACCATACATCAATTGGAAAAAAGTTTGCGCTGTTTTAACAAAAANAGCAACAAAACCAGTACCATATCGGGACGGTTGAATAGTTATTTATCGAGAGTGAGTGAGAGCAAGCAGTTATTTCAAGACCTCGACCTGTCAGATGGAAAATCAGAGCTAGTTCCGGAGGTGGATGGTGTCAACCACGACGGACTGACTTTCGACGCAGCATCTCCGATGACAAAAGAACGCGGAGTGTGGTATGCCCCGCTCCTTGAAAGTAGACGAATATCGCAAGTAAAACGTTCGAGATGGCGACACCCCGGGGATCCAGAATGGAAATAGAGAAACAATTCAGTGGCGAAAATAAAGCATGGACATGACACTACAACTTGAGATGCACACCGCATAAACCGCTCGTAAATTCGATTTCCTGTGTTACGCAAGCAGTTTTGATGCAATCGCGTGCGTTATTGCGATTGTGCAGGTTACGAGAGACACGTAAGAATAAAGTGAGCAGAGGAGAAAAAACGATCAAGTCAGTCAACACACTTACCCAACCGTTAACGGCCGCGTCAATTTGGCTTATTTGTTCACGCAGTTGTTGCATTTGACGCTGGTAGGCTGCTTCGGGGACAACCAAATCACTGGATTGCAAACTCCAAAATGTCACAAAAAAATTCGTGCCCAAATCGTCCCACACACGATTCGGATAAAGAGGACGGATCGCGCGGGCAATCTCAGAGCAAATTTGCTGTGAGGCAATTGCGAACAAGGACTGTACGAGACAGCCCCAAGAAGGGATGGGACGGACAAACAAACAAATAACAAGGATGATGAGTCGAACAACGGAGTACCGATTGGAAATGAACTATGTGGTTGTCGAATAAAGGGAGTGGCGGACTGGTGTGAGGAATGGATACCTAAATTCAATGCCAATAGAAAACAAAATATCAGGGAGAGCAAAAATGACGATGCATGACAATCATGAATATCACAATCGGAGGTTTAATTGTGACATAAATGAAGAGTCGGTAAAACCTATTGTGAGTTCGTTGCGTTTTTCAGGGGACCATAAGGTTATCAATAATATTGTAAGTGAGTTATGACTAAAGATACTCTCCTTGTAGTGCTCCGATCATACCGACAAATGGAAATTCATTAGTGGTAACTGTGTGGGAATAATACCATTTGAAATTTACAACTTGTTACCCCGGAAACGACGTTAAACTCACTATTTAAGTTCATCTTTTGACCGACGATAGCATTTAGCTGATCATTATGATCTTCTTCAGCTTCTTTTATCTCACATTTTTACTTATTTCTGTTGAATATAAAATGATGCAGATTTCAGAAAGGGGGAAGTAGACAACCGAAGGCCCACCATACAACACGCAGAATGTGGGAGTAGTCGGGCAGTGGCGGTGGGATCAGAACACACGTAATCCGGGACGATAATTTGATGACCTTTACTGGTTGATCAACCCATTGCTTTCATGCGACGAAACTCACTGGTAGCATTGTAGCTGAAGTAGAATTTCGTACTAGTAGTAATGGAAGTGCATAACGAAATAGCAGCCACATGAATCTATAAAAAAGGTTTGAACAGAATTTGAAATCAGGTGTTGACATATAATTCACTCAACCAACTGAACGGAAACCATGGACGCAAACAGAGGTCGGGAATCGGACCACGATGTGACGATGTTTATTGGTCACGTGTAAGTGTACTTTACCTGTCAACTGATTCTATTGGATAGGCAAACCTCAAGGGAAAACGGCCTATTTCTATAACCATAATAGTAGGGCTCCGATAAAAGGGATAGTTTGTATCCTCATCGCGGCCCATCTTCTCTATTCTATAAATCCCCTCATGAGTGCTAGATGACCATAGCCTCATTTGTGAACATTGACAACATCATTGCATACTCAAATGTGGAAAACAAAGTGAATGAGAACTGATTCGAACTGACCACCTATCCTGCCCTCCCCACCCCTGTCACGCATAGACTGCAGCTCATTCCGTTAACCATATACTCGGGGAGCACTAGACTCGAGTATAGGCAGTGCGCTTCCGGGCTTTGATAACACACATGCCTTCCACTCGATAAGTCCGGAGATCAAGGACCGGACAGGACGGAGGACGTAGACTACTGATGAGCTCTAATGAGACCGAAACTCGAGTCTAGAGCTTCTCGAGTGCATGGCTGAGTGGATAGACTTGGGATGTTATGTGAAGATGAAGTTTAGTCAGTCCAAATAGATATAATTTGTCACACGCAACCTCATAATAGTGGCGTGAGGAAGATGAAAATCGTCGACATTATGCATGTCGATCATAATCCAAATTCTGTTTATTTTTATAGTATCCACGTGTTTCATCCATGGTAGGTAGAAATGAGCGAAACTAAACATGCCTGAACAATATTACTAACAGTTTGTATAAGTACCGAGTGAAAGGGAAACACATTCGCGTAAGTTCGAGACACGTGTATGAAAGAGAGAAATTTGTTTCACGAATATGATTTTTTCGAAGTCAAAATTCGTGCGAATGGTAATCGATGTGGGCTAGAGTCATGCTCTAAGAGAAAGAATTTAATTGGCTATTTATATTGCTATTGGTTAAAACGAACAAAGCTTAAAGAAAATTCTCTACCATTCGTTGGGTGCAAGTGGTCAAGCGGTTTAGGTAGCTGACACTGGTGTGCTCTGGGGTCCCAGGTTCAGAACCCACCACTAGTGGCTGCGCTGTCGTCTGGCTCAATATCACGTTTAAATTATCGGGGCTTATGAAGATTTACCAATCCAAGACCCTGAGCTGAAGTTATTGGTTTTTTAAGCATAGACAACAAGTCTTCTTGACCATAGGGCTTACCTCGACTATTGTTTATCACATAAAAGTGTGCAATAAGAAAGTGTGGCATGCACACAAAAAGATAAACAGCACTGTCAATCTTAGAAGTGAAGTCTCGACGTGATGGTTAGAAGTGAACAACAATTCGCGAACTAGGCGTTTGCCAAAGCACTTTGTCAACATGGATACCGTTAGCACCCGCGTGTTAACTAAGTGTTTTCTTCGTCCCTTTTCGAACAGACTGAAGAGAGAGACTGCATGAAAGCAATGCTGGTCAATGTGAGTTCCATACGGAAAAGCAGAAATGACGCTCACAGCCCAAAACAAACAGACAAGAAGGACACAGGCGAAATGATTGGTTGGTTCGGTTAGAACAACAAATGAAAGTAGTGTAATAGTCAAAGAGGAAGTCACCGACTAACGACACATGCTCTAACTGGGGTCCGAACCCAACAGAAGCATCGAGTACACACACACACACACACTATACATATATATATATATATATATATATAAAATAAACCCAAATGGGAACGGGTTCCAATGTCTACGGCCTAGTGACATGGATCAACAACATCAGCTGACTTCTAGTTGGGCATGGTTCAACAACACGGATGAAAACAACGTGAATGCAAGCATGCTCACTGACCTTCGTGGTGGATTTGGATTTCTCGGTTACTTTCAATTCATCGGCATTTTCTTTGCTCTCGAACAAACGCTGGATGCACACAGTGAACAGATTCAAATTGCATGGAGTAAGGGTAGCACGGGGGGGGGGAGGATGAAAGGCAAAGCGAGAAATTCAATTGTGTGATAATAAAAGCGAACCAAAATGATGCTTGAAACTGATATAAATGTATCATGCATTGGAAATCCGGTCGCATTTGTGTTCATTCAGAACAAATCACAGTAAATCGAGATAGCCGCTATCCCCTGTGTCAGAATACAACCAAAATAAACAGAGAGAAAAGAAGGCAAAACACCATCTGCATAACGAAACGGTGTCCCATTCGAACTGATTTGGATGTCCATTTCGCCTGTTCGTCGAGCTTAAATGCATTAAAGTATGGCACTAGTTGAATCAAAACGACAATCTGAAGTGAATTTATGAAGCAAAGTCGGACCGGATCGTCCCATAGGCGTTTCTATAGCGCGGAATCACATGCTTTATTAAGGTTGATAGACCCGGAAACCCATTTCACAATGAAGGCATGACGAACTGAAGTGACAGGGAATGTCTACTCTCACTACTCTAAATAACCGCTAGTGTACTTTCAGAATCTGATTAGCACCCGAACGCATAATACGCATACAACGACAGTTTCGTACACTGAGATTTGTCTTAGAGTTCGGAAGTAATCAATGANTATGGAATAACAAAACTGACAGAAGACGCAGCTCCGATATCATCATATCGTTGGCCGTAGGGCATTCCGAGCACGAAAAGAAGCAAATTACTGACATGATGCATACACAGCCCAACTAGATCACATATACAGTATGAACACTGATCACCGCGTGCTGAAGAACTTACCGCGACTTTTTGTTCGAACACACTACGATGCAGACAAAATGCGGTATCTGCCGGGACATGGAATTCACCCATCATTTGTTCAATCGGAAGACATTGAGTTTGCATTTCTTCCCGTGTGAGCTGCAAACTGAGGAACGTGATGAACTGGACCAGGGTGCCCTGACACTGCAATGAAAACGATCATGGAAGGCGGAACAAAAATGAGGAGTGTGCTCACTTTCCAATGTGAAGTAACAAAGGAAGACATGGCTTTCCGACTCAGTGAATAAGGAAAACATTGAACAATTGGAACATGAAACTCTGCAAGCCTCAATAAAGTCGACGGCCGGTGTCTTGGTTTGCGATATGGTCACTCTTTCCTTGGAACTATACGAACAAGTCTATCCAACAGCCCTCGCTGAGGAAGCCCAATTGGTTGCATTCACGTGAAGGAGCTGTTTTCCCACTGGCTGTTCACCTAGGGAAGTTGGCGCAAAATTTTAATTTCAAAAAACCCAGATGAGGTGTACAAACAAGCCAGTGGTTTGTTTGGGTATCGAATAACTTGGAACGCTTGACCCCGTCTAAAAGGTGTATGGTCTAATACATTCGATACCGGCCACAAAAAGATACTAAGTGTACACACCATCATATTGCCTAGCGGGTCAGGCATTGGTTGAACGAAAAATCTGGATGTGAATCAATGAATGAATGAACGAGTCAATCAACCAATCAATCAGAGAAAACTCGTAAAATTTGGCCTGGGAAAGCCGGTAGTATTCTATTCATTCATTAAATTCTTAGTTATAAAGATTGTTCAACCGTGATTTGGTTGGAACACAGTTTGAACTCAGACAGATATGAAAAGTTGAACAACAATGTGGAAAGACAATTGGACGAGAAAAAACAGCAGAGAATCCTAAAACAAAACGAGAAATTAGTTTCCACGCCTGTTTACGATAAACAGTCCACGGCTGAACCCAGCGGTTCGTTTAGAACTGCAAACGGGGAAACTGAGCCCTGATAAATTCAAGTGGTGTACTACTTTAGGAAGGGAATAGTTGTGTGGTTGAGTCGGGCGACAGTGAACCAAACCGTCGCCAAAGTTGGGCAAAGCAGACATGATAAACAGCAAATAACTGTGAAAAAAACCTATTGCAAGTGACCGTAAATGAAGCAAAACTGACAGTTCACCGCTATGTATCTCCACCCTCATCTGTTCGTTATCTATGAGGAAACGATAAATTTCAATCGAAACAAGTGCAAGGAAAAAGGAAACATCCCTGAATTTCAATTTGTGAACGACTACAAACCTATTTTCATTAAGGGATATTGAAGGATCTCTTAAAAAGCAATGATCAGACAGTTAGTTAGCTTATCCAGAGTGAAAATGAGATGTGTTGTTAAGTGTACACAAAACGAACAACCATTCCGTGCACTGAAACTGACATTCAAGATTTAAAAGAAACAGAACAGCACCATGTGGAAACGAAGCGCGAATTGAGGGAAGCATCCGAATATGAACCGATCATGATTTTGACGAAAAGCAAACTTGTCTGAAACTGTTCACAACGACCGCCAGTCCGTGTGTGTGCGCGCGCGAGCACGAGAGAGCGAAATTACAAACGCGAACCGCGTAATTACTTTTTCGCGTAAAAACAAAACTAACTAGCTAACAATGAGCGCCTAGGAATAAGTCAATTCAATTTACAAAAGTTGGAAAGAAAGCACGACATTGATAATATATTTCGATTGTTTGTGGACTCGTCTGTATACGAAAGGTATTTTCACAAACGACACAAAAGAGAAAATTAAGATTAGAGATAACAGATTAGCTATAAAACAAAGGTAAGAGATTGTGTTCTAAACAACCAAATGTACAAGGTGATAACCAAATATCCTCTTAAAAAGCGAGGTCAGAGCCATCCCAGTTACCGTCAGAATGGAAGGTATATATCACACAATCATTCATATTAGCCTGACTGACATTGCACGCGACATGATGGTGATACTTGGTGCTGAAATTCAGGGATGGACAAGTCTAGGTCTCACCTGATCGTAAAGGCGACCAGCCAGTTTGACATGTCGCTCGGGATCGTCGAGAAACAGGACTGCGTCTCGTTGCCGAGCCATGAGAAAAATGAATGGCATAATCATATTATGCTCCATCAGAGCCTCCTTCAGTCGAGTGGCATTTTTGCGCGTATTCCGTATCTGGGCGTAATAACCGCCCTCCTGGAGTAACAGTTCACCTCCAGACATGGATTCCACCTGTTCATCGGTCATTTCTTCGATCACGTCAATACCGGACATACGATGAAGTATTTCGCGGAGGATCAGCAAGTCGTAGCTACATGACAAAAAGCGAAAGACAGAAAGATAAATTGGATAACTCACCGGCTATCCGAATTAGTTCAACCAAGATGAGCAAAATTAGCAGGAGCATGAGTTACATTTTCAACTGTCGCAGGGAAGTAAGCCGTGTCCTTTAGGACGGGAACGGGAACACCAGGAACCTCAACAATTAAGACGCAGGGACGTTTTGAGAACATATCACAGATAAAAGGAAGGTGTACACATATTTCGGAACAGAACGCACAGTAGGCTGGAGAAAGCGGTGATTGATGGGCCACAAGGAAATTAGTGGGATGACACTGACCGATTGAGATGAACCAATAAACCGAGATGTCACTCTTATTTTCGGGCTGGCTGCCTCTAAATGATGACAAATAGGCTTTGCGGATGAATTCACAAAAACGCTGGAATGCAGTACGAAACAGTAGCCTCGGGGATCCCTTTAAGCTCGTCTTCGAGCAGGTCACGATATGATCGACGGGCAAGGATAATTTTTAATAATGTGAGCTGACTATCTTTCGGACTTCACCTTCACGCACAATCCTCAGTTCATCGAT